CTACAACACTTAAAATATAAATCCAGGGACATTAAATGAAATCTGGGGACATTCTGGGGACGGATTTTGTAGAGGGGCAGATTTGTAAATCCGGGAACTTTCCCCGGGAAATGGGGACACCTGGTAACCATAATCCAGGTAGCTCTGTTTCTCAGCAACTTAAGTTTCTGAACCACCTTCCAAAGCAACCCTGTGTAAAAGGCATTGCAGCAGTGCACTTTGGAGATAACTAGGGCTATAACCCTGGGGAAGGTCTGTAGCTTGGCGGTCAGACATCTGCCTTGCACACAAAATGTCACAAGTTCAATCCCTGGTGTCTCCAGGTGTGGCTGAGAAGTGTTCTTTGTCTGAAAGGCTGGGGAGGCACTGCCAGTCAGAATAGCCAACACTAAGCTGCAGGGACCAAGAGTCTGACTCAATGTAAATCAGCTTCTTATGGGGAACTGAGATCAGCTTGGGCTGATCCAGATTGAGCGCCTCTAGATATGTCGTTGCTCTGCCGAACCGGTTGGTTGCACGGCACTGTGACATCACCCTGTTCGCTCTAGGATCCCTGACTGGTTGGTATCACTTAAGTGACTAATTTAGGAAAGAGGAAGATGTAGTGTTTCAACAACTTGGCCGATGAGGTGGTTCAGGGGTGGGCAGGTGGATATTCAGATATCTTAAGGTATTGGTCTGAAGGCAGATGGGGTTATCCTCTTGCTGAAGTTAAACTGGGCTGGGTCTGGTCAGTGCCTGGATGGGAGACCACCTGGGAAGCACTTGCATGGAAGAAGGGCAGGATAGAAATATAAGGAAACAAAAATAAAAGAAATGTGTGTGTGTGTTATTTTGTTAGGAGATACAGTCTCTGTTAGTAGCACATGTTCACACACACACACACACACACACGCTCATGAGATGCTTGTCATTTTGACTCTGGGCAAAAAGATTTTTGCTTTCTAGGATTTGTGGGCAGCACCAACGACATGTTGTTGTATTGTGACATTTAGTATTATTAACCATTCATTATTAACGATTGATTACTAATTGTTAATTCTTTCATATCCCACTCAGAGTGTGTGCATAAAAATTAATTGACCTATTATTCATGTCTGTTAATTTCAGTCAACCAGCTCCAACTGGGACTAGCATTGTATTAGATCTATCATTATTATTTTTGCTTTATTTAGTTGCTTTTTCATGGGGCATGACTCCAAGTGACTTATAAAATCATATAAAAAATTGAAACCGAGTATAAAAGAAACCCAACACTATAGTGTGTGTGTGTGTGTGTGTGTGTGTGTGTGTGTGTGTGTACTAGAACACAACTGATCTACGGGTATAGGGTGATATACAAATTTAGTAAGTAAAAATTAAAAATAAATAAAAATTAAACAATAAGCAAGAAATAGGCTCAAATACTTTTTTTAGAACAATCCTGATGTCATTTTATTATTGCATTTTCACTTGGCTGCAAATCACTTAGAGATGTTTTGTGGGTATGTTGCCGATGGTGGGAGTGATGTCCACATTTAATAAACTAAACTAACTAAACCACCATGTTGATATTTCAAGTTTTTATCCCCTCAAAAAACAGATTTGGAAAATATTTGGTGCAGCTATCCATGATTTGCACTGCCCTGCTTGCTCATTGTGGCAAGATTTATTTATTTTTTACTACCAGTATTTACGAAATGTTGTTGCTGCCTCTTCCAGGCTGAAATAAGAGTTGGAAGATGTCGGCAGAGCAAAGTCATCAGCAGCGGAAGCAGAGCCCTGCCCTGCCCCGTGCCCTGAGCAAGATGGTTCCAGAACCCACCCTGGAACCAGAACTGCTCCACAAACCTGAAGAAGACCAGGAACGTGACCCCCCAGAAACCAAAGAACCAGAAGATCTGCTCCAGGGAGAGAAGGAGCCCCAAGAAAGGAAGGAGCCATCTGACAAGCCTCCAACATCTGACATGGTCAAGGAAGATAATCCAGAGTCCAAGCAGGGACCTCCATCAGGAAAGGAGAAGGAGGCTCCACCCCAGACTCAGCAGGAGCACAAGGATACTCCAGCTTTGCCCCGTGCTCTGAGCCAAGAGTCCCTGAAGCCAACACATCCTCCTCTCCCTTCTCCTAAAGAAGCTGAAGGCCACCTCTACACCCAGCCTCCTCCTCCTGTGGAACAGCACCAGCACCAGCACCAACAGAAGAAGCAGCCATCCCAGTGGCCCCCAAAGTAGTTCTCCTACAAGGGAAGGTCAACAGAGATCCAATGTACACATTATGATTTCTGATATGGTTGATTGCCTCTCCTTAGGTGTTCCTTCAACTGTTTTTCTGTTATTGCCATCTTCTTAAGGCAGTGCTGTGGGGTGCGATTTCTGGAAGCTGGTGATTCCATGGACAGACCATTCATGGAGCTGTCCAGTGCAGGAGACTCATAGGAAAACCCGTACAAGCCAGTGGGCTGTGTGAATCTGATACTAAATGCAAGATTCCACCTTTGGCATACCAAAGTGGAGAACGTTCTCCCCCTCTATTTGATGACTTCTTCTTCTCTCCCCCCCCACCTTTCCCCCCCAAGGTGCCCAAGGTGGTATACATGGTTTTTCCCTTCCTCATTTAAACCCCCACAACAACCTGTGAGGTAGGTTAGAGTGAGAGGCAGGGCCTGGTCCAAGGTTACTCAGGTGGCTTCATGTAGCCAAGTGGGGATTTGAACCCTGATCTCCCAGGTCCTTGTCTCAACACTCTAACCACTGCACCACACTGGCTCTCCTACACTACAAAAGCTCTCATAATGGGTTCTTTCACAGGATCTTCTCCAAAACACTCCTTGAGTAGGGAAACTTTACACCAAAACTAGTCTGATATTGCTTTGCTACCTGGCTACCCAACAACCAAAGCAAGTCTATTTTGAAGAGACCTATGAACAAGGTGTGATTTGACCTCACTGATGTTCAGTTCAGAGTGTGATGCGTTATCTCCCTCTAGTGTCCATGGTGGATAAATTTATATTAGCAGAATCTACTTGTTGAAACTTATCCCGTTCAAGCAAATGTATTGTGGCACCTGAAAGACTGACAGATCAGTGGTGGCCTGGAAATAACTTATTGCGTTCATTTCGAGCTTGGTCAAGACCAGTTTTTTCCCCCTCCCACTCTTAATTGTGGCCTAAATAAGTTTCATTTTTAGGACTCAGTCAAGATCAAGAATGTCTTCTATGGGGTGTTACACTACAAATGTAGCAGTAGCAGTGGTGATAACATTAAAAAATAATAATAGTGAAAACATCTGTTATCACCAATTACAGCTGTTGCAATTGGCTGCTATGCTTCTCTGTTATGTACTTGAACTTTGCATATAAATTGAATAGACTTTAGCCCTTGTCAGGCATTAAATAAATGTGTGAGGGAGGTACAAGCATGCTAGCTTTGCCTCACTCCTGTTGCAATAGCTCTCCATGATTTGGAGGGTATAGCAGAGACTGATCTGTTAGGACAAATGGGGCACTGCCCCACCAATCTCAGTCTGCCCTCATCCAGACCCCACTTGCCTGCCTCCTGCCTTGCATCCAGTCCAGGAGGTGGCACTGCTGCTCACGTTCCTCCTCCTCAGTTTCAGTGCTGCCCTTGGCAGAACTCAGCACTGAGGAAAGGAGCAGGATGGGGAGAAAACCACAGTTAGTTGGCCCTGCCTGCCATTGGCTCTGGTGCTATCAACTGCCACACTCCTTTCTCAACACACAATGACTCTTAATTGAAAGTAAGGAAGAGATCTTCAGGTTAATAGGAGTATGGGATCAGCAGCAAGTGCAAGATGCAGAAGTCAAGATTCCAGGGAACATGAGCAGGGCAAGAGGTCCATCACCGCAAAGAAGCTACGAAGACGTCCCAACAAGTTGACACAGCCCTCCAGCCAAGTTTTTGAGGGTGAGCTCACTCTCTCGCCTTATGGTCTTGCTACACACACACACACACACACACACACACACACACACACATGCACTCCATCTGGATGGATGCATCTGATCTCACCTACAAAGGTTGCACCAGGTTGTGTCCTGCCCCTATTCCCCCAGCTCTGTAGCCACCTTCTCCTCCCTGTCATGAGACTCTGCACAGTGCAGGAGGGGAGACAGAGCATCAGAACATAAGATGAAACTGCTGGATCAGACCAATGGCCCGTTTAGTCTGGCATCCTTTTCTCATGGTGGCTAACTGGATTCCTTTGGAAAACTTGCACAGGGGCCTCCAGAGGGTTCTGCTCTATGTCTCCCATCTTCCATGGGAATGATGGATGGTGCCAATGATAAGAGAGTGCTTTAAATTGTTAAACTGGAGCAAGCAGATTCTTAGAATTTCATAAAACACCCTCTACCATATTCTTCCAGCTCCCCACCCCCCATAATACAGAGGCCGCACACCAGTTCCTCTCCATTAATCCATCGATCCAGAGTGAGGCCTAGCAAATGCTGGTTCATGATCCTAAATATGGCCTACAATGGGGACAGGAAATTCTGTGGCTCTGCAGTTGTTGTTGGACTCAAACAGCCCCAGACAGATTGGCCAACTCTTGGAGATTTGTTTTTTTAATTACATGTATATCCCAAAGGAGCCCAGAGCAGCAGCTGTACTTTGCTCCTCTGATCAGCAGGTGGAGCTGAAGATGAGAACTGGAGTCTAGCAACATCTGGAGGACCACAGGTCTAGAAGAATCCCTGCTTCACAGATAAGAATGCCCTGAGATGAAGCAGTAGATATATAACCCAGATTTGCAATTACCATACTCCCAGAAGGTACTGGTCCCACAAATCATTTAGTGGCTCATCCACTCACACCTTCCATTGGTGGCCTGTGTGATTGGTGGTTGCTTGGAGGTGATCTTTGATCTGCACAGGTGACCAAATTAGCATCCATTCACATGCTTAGTAGAACCCCCATTTTCAATCGCCCTCATTGGCTAGATCCAAAGACCGCCATTGTGACATGGGAGATACTTCCATGGGTTATGTTCTCTGTCTCCCACAACACACTGGGAATAAGTGCACAGAGGAACCTGTACTTGAAGGAGAACTTCCTCCTGGCTCTACCTGCTGGTCAGAGGAAGGAACTACAATCCATTCCATCCAGCAGCCCACAAGTCTTTTTGGTCCTGGGAATCAGGTGCAGTGGGAGAGCCAATTGGATGCAACTGAAGGATTTAAAGACTCACTTATGAAGTAGGCTGTTGTGAGCATACGAGGGGAGCACTGATGGGGCAGGGAATATGCAGGTGAAAGGTTTTGACTCCTACAGACCCCAAATCCCCATAATCAAAGAAGCAATACACTCCTAGCAGTGGCGGAGCTTCATGCTGGGGCACCGGGGAGTGGAGACCAGGCGGGGGCGGGGCTGGCCCAGCGCAGGTGGGGGGGACAGCCACGATGGCACCCCACTGGGATCACGCTTCCTCGGGCAGTGCGCTTCCCCTGACCCCTCCAGTGACTTCTGGTTCAGATGACGCCTAATTGAACCGTCCACCTCCCCCCAGATGAAAAGTCAACCCACAAGGTGGACCCCATTTAGCTCCACTGAGATCTATAGAGAACTTCAACACCATTCGTGCCTCCATAAAATTCAGTATCACAACTTTGACCCACCCCTGATGTTCTGTCTGCAGATGTATCTCGACTCCACTAAGTTATCTCGGGATGAACACATGATGACAACATCAGTGCCTTCGTCTTTTTTTCCCTATCCAGTGTTATTTATTGTTTCCAAGAAGCGTAATCATAAACTCTGTAATTTAATCTACCCTTCCTTCTGAAAGAATGATCAATAAATCACAGAGTATCACTTCGTTTCTGTCTCTCTTTGGATGCACGTCATTGCTTTGTAAGCCACGGTCATGCCAAAAGCTTGGGACTCAAGGTGCAGTTTTGCTCCTGTTCCCCTCCCACAAACTGAGACTATACCCAGGGGCAGCTTCATTTGAGCATCAGAAGATAAGAGTCTGCTTGGTCACCTGATGCCATGCTAATCCGGCATCCTAGTCTTACTGTGCCCACCCATTCTGTGTCCAGGGCAGCTGTCTATCAGCTCCATCTGGTACGCAGGATGAGACCCTCCCAGCCCACAGACTGTCTCGCCAGAATGGTGTATGCTCTGGTTATCTCCCGCTTGGACTACTGCAATGCGCTCTACGTGGGGCTACCTTTGAAAGTGACCCGGAAACGACAACTAATCCAGGATGCGGCAGCTAGACTGGTGACTGGGAGCAGCTGCCGAGACCGCATAACACCGGTTCTGAGAGATCTGCATTGGCTCCCAGTACGTTTCCAAGCACAATTCAAAGTGTTGGTGCTGATGTTTAAATCCCTAAATGGCCTCGGTCCTGTATACCTGAAGGAGCGTCTCCACTCCCATCGTTCTACCCAGACACTGAGGTCCAGCTTTGAGGGTCTTCTGGCGGTTCCCTCACTGCAAGAAGCCAAGTTACAGGGAACCAGGCAGAGGGCCTTCTCGGTGGTGGTGCCTGCCCTGTGGAATGCCCTCCCATCAGATGTCAAGGAAATTAACTATCTGAAAACACCTGAAGGCAGCCCTGTACAGGGAAGTTTTTAATGTCTGATGTTTTATTGTATTTTTAATCTTTCGTTGGAAGCCGCCCAGTGTGACTGGGGAAACCCAATTATTATTATAATTATTATAATAAATTATTATTATATATGCCTGTGGGAAACCTACAAGCAAGACCTGATCATAAGTGCACTCTGCCCTCCTGTGGTTTCCAGCAACTAGTATTCAGAAGCATTACTGCCTCTTGGGCTTGCCGATCAGAAGGTCGGCGGTTCGAATCCCCGTGACGGGGTGAGATCCTGTTGCTCTGTCCCAGCTCCTGCCAACCTAGCAGTTCAAAAGCATGCCAGTGCAAGTAAATAAATAGGTACGACTGCGGTGGAAAGGTAAATGATGTTTCCGTGCCCTCTGGCTTCCGTCATGGTGTCCTGTTGCATGAGAAGTGGTTCAGTCCTGCTGGCCACATGACCTGGAAAGCTGTCTCGTGGACAAACGCCAGCTCCCTTGGCCTGAAAGCGAGATGAGCACCTCAACCCCATAGTCACCTTTGACTGGACTTAACCGTCCAGGGGTCCTTTACATTTTACCTTCCATGGAGGCAGATCATAGTCATCATGGCCAGTAGCTATTGATAGCTTTTGCCATGAATTTGTCTAATTTTCTTTTTAATTCCAAGTTTGTGGCCACTACTACCTGCTGTGGCAGCGAGTTCCATAGTTTAACTCTGTGCTGTGTGAATAAGTCCTTTCTTCTATATGTCTCGAATCTTCCAACATTCAACTTCATTGGATGCCCAGAAGTTTTAGTCTTGTGGGAGAGGGAGATAACCTTTTCTTTATGCAGTTTCTCCAGGCCAGGGATCACTTTTATAAACTTCCACCATATAAGCTCCTACTTTTTGTCTAAACCAAAAAGTCCCATTGGACCACAGAGCTGGGATCCTTATTTGTTTTTATCTTTTTTTTAAAAAAAAAAAAAACCACTACATTTTAAAATTTGGTTTTTAAACAAATACAAGAACAAGAACTTTTTAAGTACTGAAGTTCTTTGGCTCCACCTTCTGTCCAGACCTGGTAGCTGATGTCAGACTGGGATATCTGGATTCCCAAGGTTACATGGTTGCATCATAATTTTCAATTACTCCAAAGTTGCTGATCCCTTTTTCTCAATTAAAAGGGCGGTGGCAGCTGATGTTCTCAGATCTTGAAGGACATCTCATCACCTTCTGCCACTCCCCTCTCAGGGGCGTTTTCACAGTTCTGCTTCTCATGGTTTGCACAGAAGCTCAGCTGTGCTTTGATCTGCCTTACACTGGCTGATCTCCTTTTCTCTTGTTGTTGTTGTTGAGTCGTTTAGTCGTTTCCGACTCTTCGTGACACCATGGACCAGAGCACGCCAGGCACTCCTGTCTCTCACTGCCTCCCGTAATTTGGTCAAACTTATGCTGGTAGCTTTGAGAACACTGTCCAACCATCTCGTCCTCTGTTGTCCCCTTCTCCTTGTGCCCTCCATCTTTCCCAACATCAGGGTCTTTTCCAGGGAGTCTTCTCTTCTCATGAGGTGGCCGAAGTATTGGAGCCTCAGCTTCAGGATCTGTCCTTCCAGTGAGCACTCAGAGCTGATTTCCTTCAGAATGGAGAGGTTTGATCTTCTCGCAGTCCATGGGACTCTCAAGAGTCTCCTCCAGCACCACAATTCAAAAGCATCCATTCTTCGGCAATCAGCCTTCTTTATGGTCCAGCTCTCACTTCCATACATCACTACTGGGAAAACCATAGCTTTAACTATACGGACCTTTGTTGGCAAGGTGATGTCTCTGCTTTTTAAGATGCTGTCTAGGTTTGTCATGGCTTTTCTCCCAAGAAGCAGGCGTCTTTTAATTTTGTGACTGCTGGCCAAATCCCACCATGCCAGTTTCCACACAGCTACAAAAAAGATGTGACAAAACTACAAAATGCACAAGGATTGTTCCCTCTATGGGGAAGGGTCAAAGCTCAGTAGTAAAGCCTTCGCTTTCTGTGAAGAATGTCCCCGGCTCAATCCTGGCATCCCTAAATAGAGCTGGGAGAAACCTCTGGCTGAAATCCTTGAGAGGCTGTGCCACTGAGTGTAGCGAATACCTGGAGATGCTGGGGATTGAACCTTTGACCCTCTGCATGCTGTGCAGATGCCATACCACTGAACTCTGACCTCAAGACTTGCAGGACTCCATCCTCCTCCCTGCCTCCACTGCTGTGGTCCCTAATGCTCAGTAGGGTTACTGCAGATGGTATCTTGAGCTGGAAACAAATCTTCTGCCAGTTACCCAGCTGGTATAAACATGCTTCTTAGTATTTGTACCGGTAATGTATTTGTTAGAAAATGTACTTTACAAAGAATAAAGTGTACTGGGTAAAAGAGAACCTATGTAATGTAACAGCTGCAAATCTTGTGACTCTAATTATGGACACAGAAAGGCTGAATCATTGCATTGTCAGTTTGCTTGCTCTCTTAAAAGTGAGCATGTGTGTGTCATGGGTAGTGGTAAGAGGGGTGGGAGTTAGAGGTTGGCTGGTAGTTCTTTTGAAGAAGAAGAAGAAGAGTTTGGACTTGATACCCCGCGTTTCACTCCCCTTAAGGAGTCTCAAAGCGGCTAACAATCTCCTTTCCCTTCCTTCCCCACAACAAACACTTTGTGAGGTGAGTGGGGCTGAGAGACTTCAGAGAAGTGTGACCAGCCCAAGGTCACCCAGCAAATGCATGTGGAGGAGCGGGGACGCGAATCCGGTTCACCAGATTACGAGACTACCGCTCTTAACCACTACACCACACTGGCTCTCTTTTGCCATTGTTTTGCTGAGTGTGGCGACTCCAATAACATAGGAATTGGTGAAGACAGACAAGCTATAATTTATGGACTGCTTCTTGGAAGTTTTGGAAGCAAGAAGCAGGAAAACCCTCTCTTGGGCTCAATGGAGAGAAACGCGTTGCATCGGACTGGATATGCACAAATAATACTGTTTGTAATAGTTGCCGTCCTGCAAGTAAAGAGCCATCGTTCAAGTCTTGTGTGTGGAGCCTACTTCATCGCTAGGGCTTCGGGGGCGAAACTGCTGCATAGCTTTGCATGACTCAGGAAAATAGCCAACATTGCTGACCAAACATGAAGCAGACTTCTGGTTGGAAGTGGAGAGTGGCTGTGTGGTAGAGCGTTTGCTTTATATGCAGAAGGTCTCAGGTGCTATCCTTCCCATCTCCAGGTAGGGTTGGGAGAGGCTTTCTGTCTGAAATCCTGGAGAGCCACTCCCAACCAGTGTAGGCAGCACTCAGCTATATGAACCATTGGTCTGACTTGGTGTAAGGTGGCTATGTTCAGAAAGGGTGGCATATCAAGGCTAGAGCAATTTATTTAGCAATGGGACAGTGTAAGCAAACATTTGCAGGGATGAGCTGTCACTCAGTGGCACAGCATCTTATTTACATGCAGAAGATCCCAAAATCCTGGACTAGTAGGGCTGGTTAGGACTGCTTCTGAAACCTTGGAAAGCACCTGCAAGTCAGTGTCATAGAATCATTTGTTGTTGTTTAGTTGTTTAGTCGTGTCTGACTCTTCGTGACCCCATGGACCAGAGCACGCCAGGCACTCCTGTCTTCCACTGCCTCCCGCAGTTTGGTCAAACTCATGCTGGTAGCTTCGAGAACACTGTCCAACCATCTCGTCCAACCATCTCATAGAATCATAGACTTATAGAAACATAGAACCATAGAATTGTAGAGTTAGAAGTGACCCCACGGGTCACCTAAGTCCAACCCCCTGCAATGCAGGAATCTTAGCTAAATCATACATAAACGATGGCCATCCAACCTCTGCTTAAAAACCTCCAAGGAAGGAGAGTCCACAATCTCCCACTATCAGACAGCTCTTACTGTCAGAAAGTTCTTCCTGATGTTTAGTCAGAATCTCCTTTCTTGAATCCATTGTTTCAGGTTCTAGCCTCCAGGGCAGGAGAAAACAAGCTGGCTCCATCCTCTATGTGACAGCCCTTTAGCTATTTGAAGATGTCTATCATATCTACTCTCAGTCACCTCTTTTCCAGTCGAACATACCCAGCTCCCTCAACCGTTCCTCATAAGTCTTGGTTTCCAGACCCTTGGTCATCTTGGTCCCCCTCCTCTGCAAAAAGTTCCAGCTTGTCAATACCCTTCTTAAATTGTGGTGCCCAGTACTGGACACAGTGTTCCAGATGTGTCAACAGCTCTGAGCTAGATGGACCAGTTGTTTGACTCACCAGC